CCTGAGCTCTGAGCTGACTTCAGGGCCTGTGGCACTTTCTTTACCTGTCTCCACGATGTCTCCTAAAAGGAGCACTCTGGCTACTGCTGACCCATGTTTGGCTGTTGGGGCTGCTGACGCACAGTGTTTCACTGAGCACCCTCAGTGCCCCGAGCCACAGTTCTCCCAGGAGCTGTGTGTGCTGTGGGTGTCCCTGCACACACAGGTTTGCCACACCCTGCACAGAGAGCGTAGTGGGGATGGAGCGGGACAACCTGTGTGAACCCTCTAGGAGTGCTCTCCCAGGGAGCTGGAGATTATCCCAGTAAAACACAAAACTCACAACACTGAAAACGTCTCCGTGGAAATCCGTTCACAGTGTGTCACACACCTCTCTGCTTCCCTAAGGTGAATGCCTGGCATGTGATTTAGTTTATCCCTAGTGACTCAGGAAGGTCATAATTCCCCTCAGGTGTTATGCTGGACTGTCATGCAGTGGTTCCTTTGCTGGAGTTGGCTTTGCCTGCAGTGGTGCCTGCCTGGCCTGCTTTGGAGTTTTTATATCAGCTTTTCCTAGTTTTTCCATCTTTGCCTTTATGAGAAGTTGTTAGGTAGTGCCATACGTCTCTCTCTTCCTCTCCCTGTGTGTGTGTGTGTAAACTTGGAAATCAGCCTTCCCAAGCTTGCTAGAATTGCATGTTATTAATAGTAAATTAATACTATTGTATTAATTGTAATACAAGTATAATACTATTATACTTGGTGGAATATGGTTTGGGGTGCTTTAGCACTCCTCTGTTTTTTTTGAGACAGGGTCTCACTATGTAGTTCAGGCTGGCTTTGAACTCTATGTATCTCAGGTTGGCCGTGAGCTTTCAGTAATCCTCCTGCCTCAGCCTCCCAAGTGCTGGGATTATAGCAGCTACTCTTCTGGTCTTTATCACTATCCTTAATAACAGTTTGCTGGAGAGATGGGCAAGGCAGTACATACATGTTATCCCAGCACTTGGGAGGCTGAGGCAGGAGGATTTCCATGAGTTTGAGGCTTGCCTGCTGCACTACATAGTGAATTTGGATTACCTTGAGACCCTATCTCAAACAAACAAACAAACAAACAAACAAACACTAATTTACTGGGATTCTGGGTGCATACTAGGCAAGACAGTACCACCTGTGAGCCATCTTTGTCCTCTAGTGAGGCAGTGAGAACTCATGTGCATAAAAGTTGAATAAATAGTGTCATGGATGTGTATATGTGTGTTGTGCAACCCTGCTGGCCCCAGTGTCTAGTATCTGTGGTCCTGAGACTACACTGAGCTCTAGCTCTAGCCTTTTATTTTATTTTATTTATTTTTATTTTTTTGGTGCCGGGGATTGAACTAGTGCCCTTGCGCTTACAAGGCAGACGGTGGAGCCATTGAGCCAAATCCTTGGCCCCCTTTTGTTTTATTTTTGAAACAGGGTATCACTGTGTTGCCCAGGCTGGACTTGAACTTACAGTCCTTTTGCTGCATCCTCCCAAGGAGCTGAGATTTCAGGCATGCACTCCCATACCCAGTAGAAGTTATTTCATTATTCACTCAACAAACATGAGAATGCCTTTTTATGAGCCAGGAACTATATAAGCAGCTGCAGAGAGAGAGAGATCGATGAGACAGTGTCCTTGCTTTTAGATATTCTCACCGTCTGGTCAGGAAGCAGATATGAAAACACAACTGTAATTAGTTTCAATATGTGAAATAATAATAGAATGTCCATGTCTGGAACTGGCACAAAAGAGGATGCGTGACTACTCTTGTGGAGCACACAGATATGTACTGACCCGGTCCTGAAAGGAAGAGTCTACTTTCTCCAGCAGCTGTGTGTTTGGGAGGTGTTTCTAGCACAGGGAGTGGCACGTGCAGAATAGGGCATACTGGGGCGGCAGAAAGAAGCTGGGGCCTGGACAAGTGCAGGCAAGGAGACTGGAGTGAGGCCCAGTTAGGCTTGGAAAGGGGCCTGCCTGAGAAGATGGACCCTACCCAGTGACATCCGTGAGAAGCCATCTGTGAAGGTTTGCAACAGGGTTGTGAAATGATCGAGCATATTACCAGTGTTTGGAGTATGAATTGCAGGGTGCTAAAGCTGGCTGGATGGGGATCACCTCAGAGGCTTATTAATGTTCATAGGAGAGGAGCAGGCTGGCCTTCAGAACATGCTGGTAGGGATAGAAGGTTTCAGCTGGTGGAACCCAGAGGTCCTGGTGATGGGTCTGAAAAAAGAGCACGGCTGCTTTCTGGGGAACCTGACTGGGGAATGCAGGCAGGAGGAGAGGGCTTGAGGGGAGGCTCCACAGCCCCAAGGATACTCAGGGACGGCTGCTCTCAAGGCAGATGGGCACATGGGCTGAGAGCGTAGAACATCTCAACCCAGAGCCACTGAAAAGTTTGTGTGTGGTGATCACAGTAGGACGTGCTAAGGTGTATCTGGTCCCTTTGTCAGTGGAGCTGGCTGGGGATGGGAAGGGGCCAACCAGGGGGAGGCTGGTGCAGGAAACTGGGTGTGAGCGAGGATGTAGGCTCGGGTGACCTGGGATGGCAGTGAACATGGGCCGAGGTGATGGCACGGGAGAATCATGCCATCTGTGTAGAGGAGGGAGATTTACACTGTGAGCTCGTTGGGGTTGCAGGAAGGCAGGCACAGTGTCCCAGGAGAGGGTCAGCATGGCCTTGTGATAAAAGGGCATATCCGGGGCCTGGCAGTGTGGGGCATATTGTGGGAATTCAGAGATTACTGGTTGGAAGCAGGGCCTTGCTAAACCCAGGAAAATGGGTGCTTGGTTGGGAGTAGGGATGTTAAGCCCAGCTCCAGGTTTAGATGGTAGCTTTAGATGTCACAGAGCTGTTGGAGCAAATGCAGAGCAGTCAGGTGAGGACACATATCTGTCACTCTGGGAAGAGACTGGGGCTACAAACACAGGTTTGGGAGTCTCTAAGCCATCAAAGTGAGCTGTCACCAAGAAGGGTGGGGACAAACAAAAGGAGTGTGAAGGGAGGGGACCAGACCTGCAGGAGTGCAGGATTGCAGCTAAGGGGCCCAAGTAAAGCAGCAGAGACGCTGTAAGGGTGCTGTCCCGTAGAAGCCAGGAGCAAACCAAGCTTACTGGTTTCACCTTCCTGAGTGTAGCATGACACACATTCCTAGCAGATGAAAATACATTTTGTGATATCTGCCAGGTTAGATTAGCTGGAAATCTCCAAGCTGCCTGTTTGTGCAGATGCTGGCATGTGACCGTACTTACTGACCAGGGGCCTTAGCAAAGAATCCCAATGTAGCACTTCTTGGAGAACTCAAGATTTTTCCTGAGGGCCCCTTGAGCCACACAGCTGCCCCTGTAACTGTGATTTCATTCAGTTTATTTAAGGAAATCATTGTATGTATGGTTTCTGGGGATGCAGCTGTCAGGTAAAAGAAGCTCTGTATTTTGGAGAAGTGAGTTTGTAACAGATGAGGCTGATGTGTGTAGGCATATGACTGGCGAGGCAGAGAACCACAAAGGGAGCTGTGTTCATCGGTGACTTTAGCCACAAGAAGCACGTGGGGTGGTGGTGGTGGGTGCATCTAGGGTTACGTGTTAGGTTGCCTGGCAGGTATTGGTGTTTGCATTCATAGTATGTTTGTATTATGGGGGTGGAATAAGAAATGATGTATTTGGGCCGGGGATTTAGCTCAGTGGTTCTGCCACCTGCCTTGCATGTGCAAGGGCCCAAGTTCAATCCCCCTGTACCAAAAGAAAACAAAACAAAACAAAAGCCCCAAAACAAAACAAAAAAGGAATGGTGTATTTATTTTTGCAGTGGAACTACCCCCTACCCCAAGAGTGAATGGGCAAAAAATACAAAATGGGCTTCAAGATAGGAAGAGAGTATGTGTGTGTGCATTTATGTGTCCTCGTGTATCCTGGGGTCAACATGCATGTGTGTGTGTGTTTTCTAGGTTGCGTTGTTTCTCTCTCCCACCTTTTACTTTATCTGGAGGTCCCAGGAGGTGGGTATGTGGTGGATATTTGGAGCAGGGGACCCCTTGGTCCTCTTACAAAGCAGGCCAGAGCACAGCCTGCTTGAGGAGTAATAGTTTGAAGGGACTGCTTCCACCCTCTCTCCCACCTTTTCTCTTTATCCGTTTGGTGCCCCCATGGCCAGGCCCAGGTCGACCGCTAAGAGATGAGGGCTGAGTGCCCATGGTGGATGGCATCATCTAGAGGTGGGCCCATGTGGCCTGCTGGCTTGGCCCCTCCTACCACTGACATGGTCATCTCGCCTGTAGGCCCTCACCTCACCTCACCCAGCTGTTAAGAGAACATCTACTCTAGTCATGGAACCCTGGGAGAGGCTGAGTGATGGGATGGATGTCACATGGCACTTGAGGGCAGAACTGTGTTTTCTGACTTCGTGTACTGGTACTTTTCTCCCCTGGGTGGGTGGGGGACTGAGGAGTGGAGGGTCCTTGTGTGCAGAGGCTTCAGGTGTGAGTGTGAGTTGTGTGAGAACGGTATGTGTTCACTTAAGTGCCTATGTGTGTCAGTGTGTCACCGAGCGTGTTTTGGGCAAGCCCGGCGAGACAGCTAACTGGTGTGAGTGTGTTCCCATCTGTCTCTGAGACACTAAGCAGTGGAGGGGAGGAGCCAGCCTCAGGCAGTCGGAGGCCAGGCTGCCGCTCCTAGCCCTGCCTGCCATTCTCTGTGAGCCCCTGAGTAGTTACTTCCCTGCCTTGGGCCTCAGTTTCCTGAAACGTAGCACAAAGGGAGTATGTGATACATGTGGAAGGCCAGCCTTCCCAGGCGGGGTGACTGTGTGTCAGGCACTGATTCAGGGAACAGCTCTGCCTTTGTCTAATCCCCAGCAAAGCTCTTCCCTGAGCTTTGGGCCTTCCGGGGAGGGTGATTTGTGTTGGGGACCCCCTGTCTATGGTACAGTATGCTCGCTAACAGCCTCCTTTCTTTTCTCCCTTTGCTTCCCTTCTCTGAACCTGGCTGGCTATAGAGGAGCACCCCATGGAAGGTGAGTGAAGCCTCTCAGTCACTGGGGTAGCACATCTGTCTCCATGGGGATCCCATGTGAAGGAGTGTCATTGGCTACCCCAGCGCTCCCTCCTTTGCCCATGTTTGGGGCCCCTCTTGAGAGATGTCGGGGGTCCTCTCGGCTCCCTCAGTCCCACCACTACCTAGGCCTTCAATGTTGGTGTGTTGTCACTGCCAGGAGGTGGGTAGACCCTGCCCCTTCTCTGTGTCCCTCCACTCTGCCCACTGGCCTTTCTTTTTCTTTGCAGTAAAGGAAAATGGACTTTGGGAAGAGCTGGGGAGTGGGGCAGAGAGCCATAGCTGACAGGATCAAGAGGGCTTAGAAGTGAGTGCGTAGACACGATTTGCCCAGCCCAGCTTAGGGTGGGTAGGAAGGACATGTAGGGTGGGGTGGACAGGGGATAGTCCACATCTCTGCTGGGAGCTCAGGTGGGCCAGAGTGTGATCGAGAGTATAGGCAGAGTGAGGGCCTTCCCTGGGTCGGGGCATGTTGGGGGCAGCTCCTCCACCTGATTGCCCGTGGCTGGGTGGAGGGTTCTGGCCTACCCCTTTGCCCTGGCTCAGGCCAATTGTGGGCATACACCTCTCTCTGGGGTCTGTGTCCATGCTTCTCCTGCCTTCTGCTCTGGTTGCCTTTCTCTCTCTGCTGCTTGTCTTTACCTCTCTCTCTCTGGGCCATGTCTCTGGCCTCTTCCTTTATCTGTCCTTCTTCAGGTTATCTCTGGGTTTCTGTCATTTTCTGAACCTTTCCCTCAGGCTTTGGTTTCCCCTGTATTTCTTTCCCTTTGCTGGGGTGGTCTAAGATCTGGGAGAGGGAGGCCTGCAGTAGGTGGGCCAGTCTTGAAAGCTGGGTGGCAGCCACTGTGGGGAAGGCAGCAGGGTGGGTGTGAGGTGAGACTGTCTCCTATTCTCATCCTGCCCACAGTCTCCTGCCTTGGGAGATCCCTGGGCCTAGTCCCTGCTGGAAGGAGCCGAGGGAGTGGCAGGATGTGAGAGTTCCTGTGGTGTCCACCTTGTGGCTTGTCTGTCTTCTGGATGTTTCTTTTCCTTGGGACTTCTTAGGTCCTCTGGTTCTAGCAAGAAATTGTGTGTGTGTGTGTGTGTGTGTGTGTGTGTGTGTGTGG